TAATCTCGCGCGAGAGCTATGTACGCAATGTCGCCGATTCGCGTGGACGTGAACGAATGATGAAGAACAGGGGGTGTGTGAGAAGAGAGGACCTGATACGGCTCTTGCGTTAATAGGAGCGTAGCGTCTACATTTTTTTCGATTGATTCTGATATGCCTGTGACGCGAAAAATGCTCGTTATCGAGTCGCATGTACCGCAATTAAAGATGTATCGAAGGACAGATAGAAACAGGATGTTCCTTCGAATCTCTAATCTTCCTTCCTCCTCGTCTTCGATCGACCGATTGCATCGCGTCTCACGGCCGAGATGGGGACAGGTTTCCAGTACATACGGGGGTTCGATAGGCACCGGATGCGGGATATGCAGGCGACGAGACGCGTGGGATTCCTTCTTGATGCGTAGCACGCAAATATGCATCGCCGTTCCGACCTGGCAAAGTTGGAGTAACTTTTTCACTTGTAAGTGAGAAATAAAGTTTTTAGAAAGCTATCGCAACGAGGAAATTTAGGTACAAATATCTTTAACATAGGAAACTAATAATTTAATAGGATGGGAGAAAATGTTCGTCAAATTCTTTGATATAAAAAAGGATAAGAATCTGTATTATAAACTCAAGTATTATGGCGTAAAAATTTTTCATACCAGTTTTACTGTCTTCATTTTGTACAAATTGAAATTGAATTTGTTTTTGTGTGTGTTTTATACCTGTTATTTAAAGATTAACTACGTTCCCTATTACATATTTTATACTTTCATGCAGTTTTATACTTTCAGAGATTTTTTATCTTACAATATAATAAATATTAATATAGTTGCTGTTTCTTATATTATTTTCCTTAGTTTTACTTCGCTTATAATTGGTCTTAATTTTTCATTCGTTCCACTTGTAGTTATAAAAACTAAATTAATTTTAATTAATGAAAGTCAGAGGCATGAGCAAAAATTTGCTATATTTTATTCGTTTATATGTATATATCAGTTTATTAAAGCTTGGAAAGTGAGAGAATGACAGGGAATTTTTTAATTCTATTTGCGTGACAACTATAATATTTCCGGAACAAGCCCCCCGGGAGGGATTCGAGGAAAGATATATTCGACGAAATCCTATAGCCATCATCGAGTGGTGCTTTTCGCATTCCAAGCGTATAGGAATCGAATGCCGACGGCGAGTTAATGCGTGTAACGGGATTTTCTTATTGGGCAGGCATCGCTCGCGACACGCTCTGTTTGGCTAACGAGGCGGCGAACGTGGCAGCGGACCTTTAATTGCCTTTAATAAAGTATAGCTTGGTACCTCGTTGCCGGTTGTTCCGCCGCGTTCGCGATATCGCCTTCGAAAGGTCGAAGAGATCGTCGTGAGCGGCACCTACGCCATCGTTATAACGCGGGGGCACGTTTATATCGGTTTTATTAGAGATTAGAAACGTAGTGGGCCTCTCTGTCGTAATCTGGGTCACGTTGTTTTGTGCTTAAGGACTAACAAGGACTCCGATCCGCGAAGCGTGTCAAGGACAACCAGAAGGAAGCGGTCCGCCCGAGAGCGAGCGACCTGTTGTCCATTATTGTCAATTGTGAGACAAGTGCCTTCGATTGCATAACGTCGCGATAGTCACATTTGTTGAACCACACGAGAAAGAAAAAGAGAGAAAGAGAAAGAAATAACTCATGAATTATTCTTAATGAATCGTCAGATGTACGGTACGATCGGACGAACTTCTCGTCAGGTGTGAAAAAATTGAATGAAAACCGTGACAGACCAGAGTTAAAGTCTGTATCCATAATTAGCGTGATAAATCGTGATGCAAATGAAATTTTCGTATCGAAATCTCGAAATTAGTAATACGAGGTGAAAATGTATAGTCCATGCAAAACTTTAAACCGAATTACAACTTATAATTTTGCTATATCGTATATCGTTAGAATGGGTGCTACAACTTTTATTATATTGAAATATTTATTCTATCGTGCAAAAATTAATGTATCTCTCCGTTCTTTAACATGGATAATTCTAAGTGATCACTGTGTTTACAACAAAATTTAGTTAGAATATTTAATTTAATATTATATTTATTAGGTTTCTCTCTGTTACTTTATAATATAAAAAGAAATGGTTACTTATACGGGGAGTACCCTGTATATTCCGTAATAAATTATTTCATAACGATATTCGCCGATGCGTTTTAGTGACCGGCGATATGCTATAGCAGTATACTGTTTATGGTTCGCTAAGCTCATGCTGTTGGTACGTGACAATCAGCACGCCGGAAGTTAATTGTGAACGTGCGACGAGCGACAGGAAATCGTATGAACCGGACGGAAAGCGGTTAAACAGAGCGTAAGCGCTCGTGCAGTGAAATTGATTCAGTCGAAAAAGTGGAATATCATTACTGATGACGGAGATCAACACATCTCGAGCGCTTTATCAATATATTGAGCATTAGGCGACTTTCGATTAGCCTTGTGCTTTTTAGTAAATATTTTTTCGATAAGAGCAGTGGCTGTGATCACGGCTGACGAGATAACTGGACCGTGAATCCGGTGTTTGACATTTTTATACATGAAATAGCGTGGAAAGTGTCGCTGTGTGTTTTTATCTACTTGCGATGTATATTCAGTGAATCGAGAAGATTCAAGTTTAATCCTTTCACGGCAATCTTTTTATATATATATATATATATATATATCAAGTATTCTTATTTAAATGAGAAGAATTTGAAATCGATGATGGAGATACTTTAAGATCCACTTTTAGTTCGAGGCTACGTTTTTATAAGATGGACGTAAAATTGAATTAAATTTTGTCAAAGAATTATTAGTAGTGAACAAATATTTAAACATCTTTATGGATTTATCTCATTATTCTTGTGTCGAAACTTTAATTATTTATTTTTATTTAAAGACGATTGATGAATAATTTAACGTGCAATTTTGTGCGTATCAATTTTATCGAGAATTTCTTAACAAATTATCCTTTTTCATACACAATAAAATTCTAGTTTCCTGGCTTCGGCATATGTTTAGGCATTCAGTGTTTTTATCGGATGCTCGACATTCTTTCGTTTAGCTTGCACAAGGAAGCGCCATAATTTTTCCGAAGGAAAGAGGTGCGGAACGTTTACTCTCCGAGTAGCCTACCTTTATTTCTCCATAAAGTCGAATGAATTCTCGTTCTTATTCTTATCTCGGTCTTTCCAGACGACAAAGAGAGAGAAATGATCGTCTCGTTTCGAGATTACCACGCATTGCGAGATCGGCCGGATGAGAACGGACGACGTATTACTTCTTTGCGAGAGCGGCCTTTTTGCCAGTTCGGCCACGCCGCTCCATCGTGTAAATGCGATACGATAGTCATTATTTACGCGGCATTATCTTATACCACAGGGATATAACGAGTGCCAAATTATTGCGCGTTGATTGCCGCGGATAAGCGCTTGCGTCTTTTACCACGCGGACTTGAGATCGTTTAAAGTTTCGAATTGCCGAAAACGTAGATTTATATTCACGTCGACGTTGTACTCCAGTTGTAACATGATTACACATCGTATTTTATTGAGTTAATTACTTTAAATGTGAATTTAATTGCTTGCGTTTTGTAAATGTATATAATAATGGGGACGATAATGTTCGGCTTGAAGCTGAAGATAATTTTGAGTCCTCGACGAAAACATTTTCAAGCAATGACATATAAAATCGTAACTTGAAGAATTGATAAACTCTCACTAAAATTATCGTAAGTTTTTTTTAACAAATTACAAGTTTGAAACTTAATTTCCACTTCTACAAGTACATAAATATTACTATGTTTTAATTAAGTTATTCGTACATATTTGTGCGATTGCCATATAGTTTAATCAATTACATTAAGACGCTTACATGTTGAAAGCGTTAAATTTATTATGTTTCTATTTAAATAAATCTCTCTTAATGAAATTATTAATGCTGAGCGTACCAGCACATATATTTGTATTTACTTCAATTAAATTAGGAAAAAAACTTGAGAAATGAAGGAGAAAAACGATGTGCTTTTACACAAAATAATCCTGTTTTTTTTTTACTAGTGCTACGAGGACGCATTAATAAATAAAAAAAAGAAATAAACAAACTGAATGTGTTCAGAATGAAAACGACGGTGTTTGCTTGATAACCGATAAGAATACTCGATATACACTTGACGAATGCCTGATTCTTTAAGATTCCTTAGAGATAGGTTTCCATTTCACATGTCTATCGTTTCCACGAGAACGACCTCTTCCTGGCTCTCTCTCTTTCATCCTGTTTCTACGAGTATTTGGAATCCTCCTTTGAACAATAATAATAACAGTTTCAGGTGAAGGTATCGTTGGATAAAACGCGGATCACTTGAAAGTTTGATTAGCTTCCTAGTTCCTCTCCAGTAAAGATTATTTTCTGAACGCGATGTGACGGCTGCGACTATTTTTCTTATTCTCGATCTTTGACCCGCGCTTCCTGCGATAGAAAAAAGATCACTCTATAACACCGACAAATCGGTCTCGTGAAATCGAGGTCGCGTCATAATAACGCACCGGCATGTCGGATTCATTTCTTTTACTCCATCTTCGGCCTTTAATGTTATATACTTCTATCTTAGAAAATTATTGTACACGAATATCTTAAATTATAGACTTGTATATAAATTACACTCGTATTATATCATTTTTCCATCTAAGAAATTTTTTTATCAACTTGAGAATAATTTCTTCTTTAAAAAATTCCATTACACATACGTTATTTTTTTACTTAATTTTCAGTGTTAAATAACTTGATAATTTCCTCTTAAATTAGATTCTAATATAATGTTTTGTAACTGTTTCCTTAAATTTATAAAATATTTATTCAATTTTGAAGCTACATTTTTTTGTAATACTTTTCTTTTTTTATTAAGAAACAAATCTATTTATTATTTATGTCGAAAACGACACAAAAATAAAAATAAGGCAATAATTACATATATCTAACGTGAACTGTTTTTTATTTTAGGCTACGAGGAAAATCTCCAAATGTGGATATCTGTTCGTCGCACCTGGCTGGGATTTTTCGAACCCGTTGAACCGGACAAAGGTATGTTTCACTTTTAAATCTTTTAAATTATTTCAATTCGTTAAAAACAATCCCTTTCGATCGGGCGGCATCGTCGATTGAATTACATCGCAAAGATGAAGGAAAGATATTCTTTTTTTTTTATTTTAATCGTCGATCAGAAATGCGCACCGTGATCAACTCATCGATCACTTCCGTTTCGATGCTCGGGGCTACGTGACGCGTTATCAGCCGATCGAGTCTATCGATCGCGGGAAATCACACCGTGAGATGTGGATCAGGCCGCCCGCCGCCGCGCCGCGCAATTTGCTCATTATCGAGAAAGTGAGGATAAGCGGGCGCCGTATCCTCCACGCCGCTGAAAGGAACTCGGCGATACGTTTTTCCACGGCCTCGTGCGAGGCGATTCGCGCGCGCGATTCGCCTCGCGAAAACGTGACTTCGAGGAACACGTAAACGAAGTCGTTCCGGCTTTATTTTACATTTATGACAGCGCGCACGAATGTTGTTCCTTTCTAAACTTTCTCCGATATGAAATATATGCTCGTTAACACTTCGTACGGATACGTTTCTTTTTCATCCCGATGCGTCGGTCGCGCAGAAGCGCAATTTTTCGATACTATCTATCGAGGCGATTTAGACGTTAATTGCGGCGACTCGCTGAGAAATGCTGAAACACGAATGTTGGTTCGCTAAGCTGTCGGTTGTATGATTTATGCTTGTCTAATGGGAATGATGCTGTGATGACTGTTGTAATTTTCTCTGTCAAAGTGTCCGCGACATGTACTATTTGATTGACGTGTCGATAATCCAGAGACGGTACCGTTAATCGAAAAGGCCAATTGTCAAGAACTCTCTAAATCTAAATCAGTGGGTAATCACTGATTATATATTATTAGTCCCAAGCCACTGATAATCAGTGATTCAACTGAAAAAAGGAAGTTTGCATAATTAAAATACCAATATTTGCACGTCAGTTCCACTATCATATGGATACATTGAATTTATACATTAAAGCAAGATTAGCTAGATTAGGGATTTGACGTTTCTTTGATTTTTTAGTTGAACTTCACTGCGAATTCACTGATTACCTGTAGCATAATTATGGGATTGATAATCAGTGATTATCCACTGATTCAGATTTAGAGAGAAGGGAAGTTGATAATTCGCCAAAATTATAATAATGGTTTGTAGTAATGTTGTTACATTGGGAATACACAGGTGACCTTTAAGAAAAACCGCAAGGTTCTCATTACAGTACGTATACGAGAGTGACTGCTTGTTAATTAAGAAAATGTGGTCGTCCTGCGATATTCTTGAATTATGATGGAAATGTCAAGCTAGATGTTGTTGAATCGTTACTATCAAGGATCAACAATAACCTTTAGTTATTGCGAAACTGTGCGTTTATCTATCACCGTATTACGTGTAATACTTCAGAAATATCGCTTGTAATTATCATCAGCAGTATGTATTTACGAATTAAACTATTCGGGAAGATTGAAGAAACTGAGAGAAGAAAGCGTAATTTCCTAGTTTGAAGTTGTCTGTAGGTGCAGGTATTCTTGATTATAGCTGAGATTTACACGATCGATAATTATCGACGTGTATCGAGCTCGTTCGTCTTACATTGCTGGCGAATAGAAAGTGGTCCCATGGTGACCGCCTTTGGCCTCGATCTTGATTTTGCTCGCAATAATCTGTCATGTGATGTTCTATGACAGGCTGACCGTCTTAATTTTTGCTAGGGTTTCTCAATCTATCGCGAATAGAATCGCTTTAACGGAGCACTGTCGTATGTGAGATTTTGTAGCATTTCTATCCTATAGAAACACAATTTCTATCGTCACTGCTCAATAATTTTTCGAAATTCAATATTTATTCGATAATTTTGAGGATCCGATTTACATCTTAAAAAATATTTGATTGTTTTTCGCGAAATAATTTTGCGTATAATAGTAATTTCTACCGTAATATTTTAACTGCTTCTTAAAGTTATATCATCAATTTTGTCAAATATTTAATATTATAGGAGATAATTCTCATATATTATAAATTTTTTATATAATTATACACACGATGACCCATTTTAATCGACGGATCCAAATATCTCCTAAAATACGCCAGCTACAAAAAAATGGTTGGGGCAAAAATTGTCGAGGGCAATGAGGGTCATTTATCTGTGCTAATAATTTTGACCTTCAGGTCGATTTTCAAGGTCATTTTTTTAAATGGAAAATTTTACGTTTGAAATAATATTTTAGAATTTGTTATTGTGAGTTTAAGAAGGTAAATTCAAGGTCAAATCAAGCATCGCAAACGTGAGAGGCAAGGGAACTCACGATAATCAAACACCCCAAACGTGAGAGGCAAGGGGACTTACGATAATCAAGTACCCCGAAGAAAACAGAACTTACTACGTCCACGTCGTTGTTTCCGGGTAACGCTAAAAGTAAAGACAAGGTCTTTGAATTTTTCGAAGCTTTTCACTATTTGAAGTACCGCCAAACACTTATCATGCATAAAAAGCTTATAAATCTAAATTAACAGCTTCTAAGTGCTTTTTAATCATTTAATTTTGATTTGACCTTTTTAAACTCACAATAACAAATTCTAAAATATCATTTCGTAAAATTTCCCGTTCTTTTCGAATCCGGTATCAAAAATAGGGGTTTCCATTTAAAAAAGTATCTTGACCTTCAAATAACCTTGAAAATCGACCTGAAGGTCAAAATTATTAGCACAGATAAATGACCCTCATTGTCCTCGACAATTTTTGTCCCAACCATTTTTTTGTAGCTGGCGTATTTTAGGAGATATTTGGATCCGTCGATTAAAATGGGTCATCGTGTATACAAAATTTGTAATATATTAGAATTAAACAAAATTTATAAGAAAAAACGATTTTATACAACTTGAAGTGTTTTATTAATTATACAGCATTTATTTTAGAAAAATTTTTTTTATTCTTTCATTAATTTTCCGTTTGCAATTTGTTCTGGATTTTTTAAAAATGTAGAAAAATTTACAGTTTATGTTTTTCAACATTTCTATTACATTATCTATAAAATAATTTTTTAATAAGAGATATTTTAGATGCGAGAATTGGACTCCGCCTTTATTTCGGAGAAACTTGAGAGTGAAATTTCGCTTGTGCCAAAAAGAACTCAGATTGCGGACCGAGAATTAAGAATATTGTCGAAATTACTTATCTATGAGAATACTGCTAATTATTTATTATTGCTATTTGTTATCTATAATACAAATCATTAGATTTATAACGTATAATTTTTATAATCCTTGGAGGGCTTTAAGGTACTAATAAACGCTTTCTATTGTTATCACCATTACTTTGAGTCCCCATAAAATATGCTTGTCATAAAAGGAGAAAGACCAACTCGGTGAACGACAGTTTTCAGACTCTTTTGATTATCTGCGATTTTTGATTAACGAATTATTGTCGTTCTCGCAGTTAAAGGTATCATCGGGAGATTACATGGACCGCGACGCGAACTCGTAAATTCCGGTCCTTGCGCTGCGGAGAAAGTGAATAATTAGAAGCCGCTTTAAGAAAGCCTTAAAGGTCTTTGAGACCCGACCAATGAAGCGGTGCGTAACAGCCGTTAATGCGCGGTACCGACTCCTTAATTAAGTGGACCTTGTTAATTCATATATTATACATGGCGCGTACTCAGGATTTTCTCCGCAGTGATAAATCCCGCAGATACGTCCAACAATTTAGCAGCCGCTTTAATAACGACATCGCGTCACGGTTCACTATATTTTATCGCTCCAGACGATGGCGATGTTTAAAGGAGACTCGGATTCTTGAGAGATTATTAGTTAATATTTTACAGCATTCCTCTATCCGATTCTTTTCTCATTGATGTAAAAACGTTCGCGCCGGATGGCGAATGTGCATAGTTGTATTTATCATGTCTCAGTGATATTTTTTACAATCAGTTATACATATAGAGACGGATAAATAAAATACATTAAACATTAATATATAAAATTATAGTGTGTTTAAAAAAAAACAATTTAATCTAATTTTTTATTAACTTTTTTAATTTTTAACTTTTTTAACTTTTATTAATTTTTTAGCCAAACGATTGAGTCAATCGATAGTAGAATCGTTATGCTACTTGTACAAGCATTTATAATTAATACGTATTTGAGCAATCAGTTATATAAATCTACACTATTTATATACATTCATTAGCAGTCGAGTGATATTTTAGCAAACATGTTGTGACTGCTATGGTGGATTTATTTTTCGGATTTATTCACGGTCATGGTGGGAAGGTGCGATCCAAGATGGGAAATTTATCTAATCGTTCGGTATTTCGCACGTCTCGAATTTCACGACAATCCGATGGCGTCGTGATACAACTCTCATCTAGCGATATAATAAAGCGATGCCTTTATTTTCACTCCGATAATACCTCGAGGCGTCGAGAGAAGTCGAATGGTAGGAATCTCTCACGGATCGTGAGATCGAAGAGGATCGATGGATCTCCGTTGCAGTATTGCGGTTAGAAAAGTACTCTCGCGAGTATGCGTAACTATTCGCGGCTAGAAATTACATTTATTCTGTTCTCTCGATTTCCCTCTGAAGTTGAAAGCCTTTCTTCAGATCAATAATCTTTTAGTAATTTAGATACTATCGTAGATCAATATTTTCCACTAATATAGATTCTAATAATATACACAGATCCAATAATAATTATTTCTTCCTCTAAATTTCTTCTCCTGAATTGAATTTTTTAATGAATTTCAAATAATCGTAAGAACTAGACTTAAAATTAATGATGCAATATTTTTAGAATCATTAGGGAGTATTTTTTCTTAACTTTTGCGATCTTAACTTTCGTAATATCTCAGTTTCAAGCACGGTATCTTTTTTAAACACATATATAAAAAGTTTTTCGTGCAATTTATATAATTTAGGAAAGATTTTTTTAGAATTAAAGGATTATATTAATGATATCATTTAAAATTTGTAATTTTAAGTTTATAGC